TGTCGACCTGAATGACATTCATAGCAAGGAAATAAAATTTTGTGGACATTCTTGCGTTTATGTGTGAATTTGTTATCGTATTGTGGATTGAGGAAGACCACCTTGTGTACATGTTCGAGAAGGATGGTTTGGGGAAGCAATGTGATGCGACCAACACTCCTTGTTATTTCGATGTCTCTCACAAATTCAACTGTCTCCAATGTACCTACAGCAATGGAGCAGCGACAACCACCCGTTCACTGAGGAAAACGTGCATGGTTCTGTCTTGGAACCGACAGCAAGCCAATGGTATCGCACACGCGTCAACGCATGCTCCCACCGCTCGGCACTCACTCGAATTTCCCGACACAGACTGGCCTGGTTCGTTTTCGATCACTGCAGGTAACACGAAAGGGCAAGAGCGTCTCACCCAGCAAGTCTCCCATCAATGGCACGCGCTTTAGGTCGACCAACGGACGGGGGGACTCCGCCGCCCCGAAGAAAGTGACGGCGCCTCACGACTACTTCATCCTGCGCATTTCTCCCTGCCCGGCGGAAACCCTCAAGGATCTGGTCAGTGAGAGGAGGTGGATGTTCAAATGCAGGAACATGCTCCTGTACATCACCAACAGGCTGCACCAGCTGAAGCAGGTGCGTGACTCAATGAAGAACTCCCGGGAACGAAGCCGAGTTGTTTGAGCGTTGGAAGCGTAGGTGAACGATTGCACGTAGATATGCATCAATCTTAGTCCAGAATCGTATCCTTTCGTGGGCACCACCAGACATTTTGCGCTACCTGAGGTACTCCGTGCTGAGTCGCGCATTGACTTCAGGTCTTCCGGCTACACTTTGTAGTGATGCGAAGCTCGAACATTGCTTGCTACTATGTGGTCATAGTCGTTTCTTTCATCAACCATCGAATTCGCTTCTATGACAACCATCGAAATCTAAAAAACAATGTGTTGGCAGGAAGAGGAAACGCACGGGGAAGGTGGACCGTTGGCATCCGACCGCGGTTTGCGCGAAAAGCTGGCGATCGCGTCCGCCGAAACCTACAAGATGCTGCGAGCGGACATGAGCGAGATCATTAAGACCTCAGACTGGAAGCGTGCAAGGGGAGTGGGCTTTACAGAGGTACAGGCTGCTGTTGATAAACAAAGCAATACGAACAAGAAATCTTTTTCGGCCGCCCATTTGTAGCTTTGATCGACTTGGGAACACCATTCTTTCTTTGTCTCAATGCCTGGCTGCAAGCATACGAGGTGGGTCAATTTCACGATGGAGTGGGTACGTGATGCGGTGACAGCTCAACGCCTGAGATGAGTGCAATTGGAGTGAATCTCCGTAGACCCTTGTCCAAGGACATCCGAACACATCTAACGAGGTTCTCTGGGATCGCCCTCTGTGTGTGCCCTAACGGCGTGCTTGTGTTACAGAAACAAATCCGGATGTTTTTCCGGTTGCAGCGGATGTCGGTGTACTTTGCAAAGCTGCTTGAGTCCAAGGCTCACCCGCTCTGGGGCTTGGACAATCCTATCGATCCAACGGGCTTCGCCAGACAGGTGCTTCTACTTTAGCCAACATGCTTGAAGGACGACGATGCTTGCCCTTGCTATGTAGTAGGGGACAGGAGTGGTTATGATGTGATGACAGAACAGCAACATCTTTGACGGTGCGAGTGTCGACAGAAAAAATAGTAGGATGCTCATGCTTCCCTAAGGCATTACCTTCTTGAAGCGCATTGAGTATACATATCCGTTATTGGTGGCTTGTTGCCCTTTTCGGTAGGACGCAACTGTTTAATGAGTATTGCTTTGGAAGCACCCCCAAACACCCGTAGAGAATGTCGGGAATCCAAACGTCTGGAAGGAGCAAACAGGTACCATGATAAACAACCGGAATGATTCTCCTGTGGCAGATGTAACACTCACAACACGATAACCACTATCAAATGAAGGACATTGAAACGTTCGGACGTTTGATCATCAGGACTTGGACAGGATCTTTTCGAGCCAATACGTGCAATCTGGAACTTTCGGGGCGGAGGCGCAAGGCATCGAGAACAGTGTCAAGGGGGTTGGCTGGGTGAGTTTCTTGTACATTGCTAACATTGCAGACATGACCAGAAGCTATTAAAGTAGAAACGATTCCGGTTGGAGAAGAGCCTTTCAAGACGTTAAGTCATCCCTCAAAAGTGAGCGTTACTGTGGTAACAAAAACTTCTACATCTTGCCCCAAATGTGGCTGTTCGCTTTTTTGTACGGTACTCTCTTGACCCTCACGCAAAAGTGAAGTGCAGGGAACATTGCACAATTGACTTCAATGTTTTCCTCATGTAACATTTGTGAGCAGGCGTTGAAGAGCTTGAACCGCCGGTTTGACGAGACCAAGCTGTTCTACAACAACTCTCCAGAAGACATTGTGAAAACAAGCCGCATATTCTTCCAGGTACATGTAATCGCAGTCGTCCTTGGACTCTGTCCCACGTTGATATTCTGTAGAAGTTTGGGTTGAAGGAAGTCCCATACGCCTTGGCGTACGGTCCTCGCCCTGAGTGTTTTACCTCGTTGAGACAAAAGGGCCGGGAGAGCGGCGACATGTTCTGGAAAGATCCAAGTACAGGAAAACCCCAAATACAGGGTAATAACTCCTTGTTGGGCGCCGTGCAGATGCTCGCAACATCGATGGGCGGGAATGTATCTCTCCTCTCAATGCTCTGGGGGACGAGGGCATATGGCAAGATCGAATCGAGCGGGGCGAAGTTGGTGCCGTCTCCGTGCCAGATCTGTTTTCATCTAATTGGCTCCCGTGGCTACTGTGAATGTTGCTGCGCCACACATCTGCCGCTATTTTGTATCAACGGTGATATCCAATATATGATATACCCACGCCACTCTGCGGATATCGGTTCAAGCATGTACGCGAAACTATCTTGTTTCCTATTCCAAAACAATACACATTCGCGAACACGCCAGGAGTACTTTTTGAGGTGCACCGGAGAGCTAGGCGCCCACGTCATTTCCGACAATATCCTGAAGGAGGTGCCAATAGAGGTGGTGGTGGCGTTCGTCTGCTTCTTGGTCAAGCGGGACAACGCCTTCCATGACCTCTTGGTCGACAACTATCTCGAGCCCGACACGAACGCCTTCTTGACCTCCATTCTGTGAGTGAAGTTCGCTGATGTATCGGCACGCGGTCGACTATGAAAACAAAGCTCCCAACTACGATGTTGCAACGTCCAATGGCCTCAAACGATAATGTTACGAGTGGGACTCATCATGAAACTCGATAACCTCACTACACGTTTGGGCATCGCACCGACGTGCTCTTATGTACTGACTTCAGCTCTCTGGTTGCAGAACACCTTTACGAACTGGTCTTGCGGTTTGTGCTAGTAAATGTTACCGTTTTCCACACAGTCGGTGTTGCGTTCCCTTACAAAGCTTGATCCACAAGAAGAAAATGGCCTTAATGGGTACTCTCATATGGTTTGTGGCGCTACCCTAGGTTTCTTGGCTGGGCACATGAAGTTGAATGGAGTCAAGAGGAACAGGAGAACGGTTGCCGAAGACATGCTTTTGCTGCTGCCCTTTTAGTTCTGAGTGGCAGGACAGATGGCAAATAATGTCCGCACGAGCTTGGTTTGCGTACAACAACGTATGGTAGTCTCAATGTCTCAGTCATTACTGATGAAGAGAGCTGAACAAACGCGACGCAGAAAATCATCCGTTGTGAGGCCACAACCTGTCCGCTACTTTCTCATTCATGCAGATCAATCGACTTCATGATTCGGAGACTGACGAAGCGCACCGAGCTCGAGATCGTGGCCCAGTGGCCCAACGAGGGAGATATCTCTGAAGACGCCACGCCGGCCTACCTGACCTCTCTGCTGGAGGACTGCTCCCCAGACGCGGAAAACGATGGAAAGCTGTCGACCAGGGCGCCCGAAGAGCTCATGAAACTTTTGGCGAGTCGCCTTAGCTCGTTTTGGATGTCCCGATGCCGGGAGCATTCACTGTACAACCATTTTCGAACGCCTTTCATCATGAGAACGCCCCCCCCCCCCACACCCCCAAATGCTGCCGGTGAAGCACGAAACCCTTGAGGACTCCCGCGGGTATTCGTGTGTACGACTGGTTCCGATGTTCTGCTCTCCTGTTCTGAATCCGCCCCGGGATACAACCTTTTGCCGTTTTTTCGGCTGCCCCACGGGTCGTTCAATAGAAGATCATGCGCACTCTTGCCGGCACGGTTTTGCTGTTGTTGTCATCATTGTTATTGCTGATATCATGGCGTTCAGCACGAGAGGTCTGCAGCACCATGTGGGGATCTGTGTCAAGAGTTTCGCCGAACAGAAGGAGAGAGGTTGGCATCCCCGAGTACTTACAACTAGAACAACCGTTCTTGCTTTTTTTTCGACAGGAGAAGTACGTTCCGCTGATTTCCAGCCAGTGCCGTGCTAGGGGAAACCTGGGTGCCAAAATCTTCGAAGGAATGTTCGCGGCCATTCCGTCGTTTGCGACCACTGCGGCAGCCGCTGTGTTCGCGTTGAACCATGCTTCGAGCAAGGACACTACCACTCGCTATTTGGCAGCCTTTCTGAATGACATGACAAGATCGGCCGGCCTGGTGCAGGAGATGATCGACGGCAGCGAAGAGCACCTTCAAGTGAGCGACAAAACCGTACCATAGTCCCTCACCGAGATTTCCTTACAAGAATCAATGTCAAGACCGACGACAAGTACCCCGGACCAATCACAACTGAGACAAAAACAAACATGTTGCACAAAGGTTTCGACGTCACGACAGCCGCAGCCGAGTGACGGCGCGTCATTCTTGTTTCGGATGCAAGACGAAGCAACCGAGCACACAGGGTGTGTCTTGGCCTCGCAAGAACGACACACCATGTGTCTAAATTAACGAGTCGTATTTTCTACTCACCACGCACTCTTCCGACACTACATTTGCGATCCAAATGTGTACAGGGGATCCCTATCGATGTGTCCGCCATTCAAGGCGGTATGTTCAGCGCAGGCGTGGAGGTGGCCTGCCTCCTGGCGGATGTGGCATTGCTGGAAATGGACGCCGTCTGTGCAGAATTCTTCCAGGCCGATTGGTGAGTATGCGTCGGACTCGAACATCTGTTGCTGATACCACAGCCGCTGACATTCGAGTTTGTTTTCAAGTTCTGATCTCACAAGAGTAGTACCATGGGTTTTGTTCAGGCATGCCGCACGCTGAGGTTCCGAGACGTGTCGGGGGGCAGTGTGACGACTGCAGGACTGCTCGTGCAAATCAATATAGTAGTCATTGCGATATGCTGACAATACTGCTCACAAGGTATTCGTACATGATCGCCTTGCGCCAAGATTTCAGACCGACGACGTGAGAAGGCCCCGATGCGACTCAACGATTTTTTATTGCACGGCATCGATTTTCACTGCAACGTTGTGTCATGATAGTGTCTTTGTGAAACGCCCTCGTTCCAGTCACTAAAGCCCAACCCCTACACCCCAAGATTTTTCAGCGACTTCAACTACTCCTAAACACGCTTTCCCGACTCTCGACCTCAGGTATGCCGACGACGAGAACGTCGTTATGCACAAGGCGTGCAAACTGTTAAACGTCGGCATCACCCGTCTCGAGAGCCAGATAGTAAAGGAACCCTTCTTTGACCACATCATTGGTGCAGCGACGGAAAAGATCGCCTTCCGATACCTGGCCGGTCTGGTGCATCGGTGCAAAGATCACCAATCCGGCGGAAAGATGATAACGGAAGAGGTATTTTCGGGGCTACTATACGAGGTCTTAACACGATACATGCGTCAATCTGAACATCGCTCATCAACTCCTGGAAGTTATCAGAGGCTGTTTCCCTGTCGCTCAAAACGGGGTCAGATCTACAGCAGCCCCTTCGATGTCCTTCGCTAGGTTTCCTGTACTAAACAAATCAAGGATCGATGTATCCGTAACCTCATCCCATATTTCAGTTCTAAGGCCGGAGCGGCAGCTAGACGTGGGGAGAGCGAGGCGCAATGCTAGACGGCGTACGCCCCCCCCCCCCCCCCCCCCCCCCCCCCCCCCCCCTACAAGCATGCCGCGCGTAGTTCCCCGCCGGATCCCATACAGCCATTATGCTTGAAAGCAACATCTTGAAGTTCCCAGCTTCACATTCGTAGGACCAAGAAGTTTATTCAATGCGAGAGACGTTATCATAAACCAATCACAGGAGCTGGAGCGGATGCAGAGCGACGTGGAGATGATGCAAAGCTTTGTCGCCAAGTACGGGCAAGCAGGCGTAACGAGCGTCTTGCACTTGAAGGAGGCAATTGTTTTCTTGACGGAGAAGCCAGAAATTATCCAGCAGGTCGTCTTCGTTGACATCCTCAAGAGGCACGAGGGAAAGGTGCGCCCAAGTGCCAAGCTACCTTTCCTGGGTCTGTCTTTGGAGATTATGTACACATCTCTCGTGGTCGATCTCGCACCTGCTCCGAGAGTTTTTCCTATCATTTAGCGGTGATTGTAACGGCATTCAGTGTCATAGGCCCCATGCACATGCGCTAGCAGCACCCCCAGTGATAGTCCTCTCTGCAGTATTACAAAGGTTGTCACTTCTGGTGGCAACCGAAAGCTGCTGTCAAGCAGGAATGATGTCTGGATTGGCAGCAATGTACCCTCCTCGTTCTGCTGTCACACACCGTTCACGTGCAGGAAGAACACGTGATGAGCATGCTCAAGACGCTTACGGCCGTCCGGGACGATCTACGCAACTTTTTCGTTCCCGCTTGGCTCAACAAGGTTTGTCACACCTCAGAGGGGTGTCGCAGTGTTGAAAAACAGCCGTCGCTGAATAAACTTGCGGACCGTGAACAAACTCTGCTGGCGGGGGCAATAATTGTTACTTTAGCATCTACGTTTGACAGCTAATCACGGCTTGGGCCAGGAATTGCTTCGCACGTTGTGCGCAGAAAAACGTGGATAGCGCCAATTCGTATCTACATCTGACTTGACGGCCCACGAGGAAAAGGAATGCCTGAACCTTCTCGCGATGGTAGTGACGGCAAGTGTCGAGAAACCACGGAAGGAAGAGATAAAACACTCCTGTGTGACCTACGCTGGTACGTCTAAGCCATAATATCGACCCCGAGCATGAGCGAGGAAACTGCCCGAATGTTCTTGCCACCGTGACGCTCCACACGTCTGATTGACCTCTGCTCCCGTGTTCAATACCATTCTGTCTTTTCGATCTTTGCTATCTTCACTATAGTTGACGCAAAAACAGACCGCCGTGGTGCAAGAAAGGCAGATGATGGAGTTGGAAGGGGACGGCCGCGCATCCCGCATCGCGTTTGACGCGTTCGAGTGGGTGTTTCAAAGCGAAGTCACTCAACCTAAGGACGGCTATGTGTACAAGTGAGTTATCTATTAGTCCGTGGCGGTGGACCTTGCTCGCTTGCATTTCGATGGAGCATCAGCTTGTGACAGACGGTATTTTTCTTCGTGTGTTATGATAGGTTCCACCGTTCACCAAAACCGTTCACCAAAACCATTAGTGAAGTTACGGTAGCGTATGGTGCTCAAAGCAAACACTTGCGGATCGACAACCGATTTCAGCTGCTGCCTTGTTCGAGTTGTCGGTGTGTACAACAAGACATTGATGAATCAAGGCGCAATGATGGATCGCTGACCCCTTTTGGCCAGGCACTGCCGATCTAGGGGTCCTACATCACCGTCGATTCTCTGCAGAGGAAGGATCATGTGCACCGTGCGCCATGTCCGACTTCGGTAGTAAATAACCTAGCGTAGCATCTCGAAAAAATGAAAACGATATTGAACATATTCCACTTTCCCCTGGGGACAAGCAGCGCTATTGGAAAACTGTAGGCTATTGACACGTACATACGCATGCATGGATGAACGGATAATGACCAAAGTGAAAGCTTGACCCTCTGATCTCCAACGCCGGGTTGTTATTTCTTTTCTGGCCCAACCTTTCTCTCCTCTGCGCAGGTACCTCATGCAATGCCTTCAAGCCTCCAGGGTGCAGACAGGAGCACACTGAGCAATGCAGGTTTTTTTAAGTCCTCGGCGGACAAGCTGTTTGCCGAACATAGTATAGTCTTACGTAGGAACTAGACTTGGTTGGAAGTTTGTCATTGTTGCATAACCGCTACGCATGACCTTCGAATTTACCTCTGAAGTGTAATGCTTGTCGGGTCTTGACCGGGTCTTGACCGCGCCTTGACTGGGTCTTGACTGGATCGTGTTCGTGCAATGTCTCCCTGGGAATTGGTTTCAATGAGTTCTTGCTGTTGTGCCCGGATCCAGTGGAACGCAATGGGTATTTTTTGAGCTGCCGTGAGTTGCACATCCGTGGTCCAATTCTTCAAGCCGGCGTGGCCACAGGGGGGATCTAGCGGGGACGGAACTCGAGCCGGCCAATCATAGAACGGCAAAGGATAGCGGTAGCGTGTGGTAAGTTGAAGAGTGTGTCATCTCGACGTTGCATTGTGGATGGCCCATAATCTCCATGCGTCTGCCGTACTTTTAGTTTGTTGTGTAGCCCACAGTATTGCAATATTGAAGCTTGTCGAGTAGGCTAGACCTGGAGAAAACTAGGCCAGGAGTAGATTGCACTTATTCGCAAGAGCAGTGGTAACAACTGGGGGGAGGAAATCAGGCAGTGGCTCCGTGTAAACGCAGTTCCTCAACGGTCTTACCGCGAAATGCTATAACGGCGGGGGGGACCCTTTGCGTATCAAGAGCACTCCAGTGTAAAATCAGATTCGGTCGTTCCACGCATAATGCAACCAATACCCTAAAGCGGTACAGCGAGCTTTCGTATGAGAAAGCACGGAGGGACACACCGAGGATATTTGACAATAGGCGGCCATCTTGGGGTATTGATTGAAATGTTCGGGCAAGAACAGCAAGCTGGCATGTAGCGTACTCGCGGAGCTCGTATGCTCGCTTCGCTCCTCGATGTCTTCACACATACATCATTATTTCCTGCTGCACCGCTGTCTCGTGGCATATACTACACCGAGTCATCATCCCGATACGCAGCCCAATTCATAGTTGTATCGGATAAGGTACATGCATGTGAGGTCGAAATTGCACCGTCCTAGAGAGATCGCCCCTGCCCGCCCTGTAGTGGCCCCTTACGCGCCAAAAAAATATTCTAGACCGTTCGAAAACTATACATTTGTCATAGCGTTTCACTTTCGAAAGTTGTTTGTACACCTGTCTCTCATTCTACCGCTTCTTCGTCTCCCCTCGAGACTCCTCTTCCCCTCTTCGAGAGACTCCTCACTGCCTTTGTGCCCGTGCCCTGGGCCGGTGCGTTCTCCCCGGCGACACCTCCTCCCTCTACTCGTGACTGTGTGTCTTCGAGGGCGTCCCCAGTTCCCGTGTGACTGCCTCCTGGAGAAGGCCTAGTGTCGTCTTCACGGCGGCTGCCTTCGCCCGTGAGGGTCTGAGGGGCACCAACAGACACCCTATGGAAATAATTTCTGCCGGCATTGCCATCGTTGTTGCCAGGACCCAGGGGGTGATAGTCTTCGACCTGGCTCTTCGCGGCTCCTATCTCCGCAGGACCACCCAAGGCCTTCTCCGTACATCCCATGGCCGGAGATCCATCGAGGCTACGACCAACAGGAGTTTCCCAGAAACTTGTTGGTGTCGGGGGGGGCTTCAGGCTGGTGGTGCGGATGGCCTTTGAAGGAGGGTCGGCGTGCGAGCTAAAAACAGGAGGCGCGAGGTGGTGAAAGTTCTCTTCGGCGAATCCTTGGCGGTTTGCTGTTTTGTCTGGTGAGCTACCCGATACGTACCCGGGCGAAAGGGCAGTGCTGATGGACGAGCATGTGCCGTCGATTGATGCTGGGGCTCCTTCCGATGATTGAGCGCAAGCCCCGAGGAGAACATAGAAGAGGTCTTGTTGAGATGCCTACAATCGCAACCGCAGGAAGGCGACGCCGACGTGCGTAGTGCTTAAGGGTGGAACGTATTGAGTGGTGGAGGGACCAGTGGCATTGACAATAGGGAAAGAATGCAGCAGGTACTTCGATCAAGAGCGACCACTCTCGGTACACCCTGCCTACTGAAGGGATGCATGCAGAACTTGACGGAGCGATCCTTAAACGCGATCACAAACTGAACGCCGAGAACATGACGCGTAGGGCCTACTGGAAAAACTGTTCCTTGTCAGCCTGGACTTCTCGGTCTGTGTCACACTCGCTCACCAGAGGTTGTCGAGGAAACGTCCTCTCTCGTAAGGCGTTGAGGCGAGACTTAGCCTCTTCCTCACCGACAGCTCTACCCAGAACCATGACCATCGCTATCCGCAGTCCCGGAATGTCTAGATGCCCCTCTGTTGCTCCCTTTGCGCTCGCGAACGCGGATGCTGCCTGAACACCGTGAAAACATCGTGTGTGGGACTAAGACGCGCGTTTGAGCGGGTGATAGGGGGTTTCGAGAAACGCGTGGAGTTTGAGTGTTGAGAACTCTGGAATCGAGGTACAGCGGAATAACATCATTGGAAAACCGTGTGGCTACGGTTTTGTAGGTTCGGGCTTCCGCTGGCGGGAGGCGTTACCTCTTCGCGCAGTAAGGCTGTCTGCTCGTCTTCCTCTTCCTCGTCCGAGTCGGCAAAGTCGACTTCGTCCATGTCTCCATCCTCGTGCTCTTCCGAATCCAGCAAGCCGACCTCCCCGAAAGTGCTTGCCACAGTAGATTGCTCTTCCACACTTACGGTCGAGATTGTCCCAGCAGTAGCCCCGCGACTGCTACTCAGCCCCTCCTTTTTCCTCTGAAACACAGGGAGGGAAAGGAAAAAATACAAGCTGGTTGCGCGTAGACGATGATATTGAAACACTCGCCAGAGAATGACAAATTTTGTGGCTGATGCCGTTACGAGTGCTGCCCAACGTTCATCTTCTCGTATCCTATGCAAGTACTTCATCCTTCGGCGTGCGCAATATGTTCAGCTGGAGCACACAACAGACCTGGGTCCGAAGCAGCAGAAACTTTTGAACATGATACCGTATAATGCGACTCATTCAAAACACATTCTTACCGCCGCCGCCTGCTCCTTCGCTGCCTGTGCTCTTGCAGCCCTGGCCTTCTCTTTGGCCTTTTGCTTGGCAGCCTTGGCCTCGCGGAAAGCCTTTCGGATCACCTTTTGCACTGATCGTTGTGCCTCTACCTCTTCCGTCGGTCGGGGATCACTCACCAGGAAACGGTCGATCTGAAGGCCAAAGGACGTTACCGGCGAGGAATTTAGCGAAAACAACTGCTTCGTTCCCCACAGACTGTACAAGAACGGCAAATCTCCAAACCACAGAGGTCAAATAATTTAGCCAACGATTGCGTGATTAATCATCAGCTATCAGCACGCTGGCTCAGAGTGCCGCAAACCAGGATCTATCATATTCTCACCCCGGTACAGTCTACGGCAGAGGAACCAGCCGAAACAATTTATGTCTGGGAAGCAAAAGTGAAAGACAGACCCCGAACAAGCAATCCCAGTGCGGGATCGTACCAACGCATTACTGCCCATACAGATTTGAACCTTGTCGCAGACCACGATTGGTATCAGTGAATGTCCAAACCTGTTCTATCCTTGATTGCTTCCAGGCTTCCCATTCGGCCAAAGACTGCCTCAGTCCCTCAGCCGCCGTGGTCGAGAGAGGGGGGTGCTCTAGCCAGACCCTGCGAATGCATGCCTCCATCGCCATGCTACATCCACGGGCAGGAATCCCGACTTGCGCCCCCTGCAATCGGCAGAAACAATTTGGTCGGTTCAATGCAAGGAGCACGGTAACCAAAAAACACGCCACACATTGCATTACCAGGCATGAATAGGTCCCTGGATCTGGATCGATGCAGAGAACTCTGAGAGAAACTCTGGTCGGCGGCCGTGTGAAAAA